ATCTTTTGATGTATCCCACAGCCTCTCCTTTTGTCTTCATGAGGAAGACCCACACTCCTCTACTGTAGTCATCTACTACAGTCAGAAAGTATGGAGTATCTGTGAAAGATTGCTCCTTGCAAGGTCCCCAAATATCAAGGTGAAGAAGCTCAAAAACCCTTGTTGTTTGAATTGAGCTAACTGGAAAGGATTGTCTGTGTTGTTTTGATCTAAAGCAAGTGTCACACTTCTTCAGATTGTGTTCAGCAGCACTATTACAATGTTTCTGCAAAAAAGGTATATGTTGCAGCACTCCATAGGAAGCATGTCCCAGTGTTTTATGCCACTCCTCCAAATTAGTTCTACATGAGTTACTTACCTCCTCATTTTGAGTATCATTTCCCAGAATATATAACCTCCCTTTTAGGTGACCAAGTGCTACAACCTTGCCTGTCAATTTGTGTTGCAGCACACACCTTCTTGAATCAAACTTACAATCCAAATCTAAGCTCATGCAAACTTGGGTGACTGATAACAGATTATATTTGAAGTCTGGAATATAAAGTACTTCATGAAGTACCAAATCATCTGAAATGCTGACTTCTCCCATAATTGTCACCAACTTGGTGCTTCCATCTGGTAAGTAAACTACTACTGGTTGCTGCAGGTTCTTTTGATTCTTCATCAAGCTTTTACTTGTACACATGTGCCTACTGGCACCTGTGTCTATTACCCAACTTCCTTCTTCTATGCTGTCATAAGAGGCTAAGGCAAAGTGCATATCATCATATCCACTATTTCCTGCAAAATTAACATATTGTTCTTCTTCCTGCAATTTGCTCTTTTTACTCTCATCCTTGTTCATGCCTCCCAGGATTTTAGCCACTTCTTGTGCCAAAGCCGATATATCTCCTGTCATGCCCTTTTGTTGATTAGCATCTCCTCCACTGACCATATTCACTGAGGTTCTCCCTTTCTTTTCCTGGAATTCCTTGAACCAATCCGGGTACCCATGCAGCTTGAAACAAGTGGTTTTATCATGCCCATTCCAACCACAGTTCTCACAATGCAGTTTTGCCTTTTCCTCTTTGGACAGTCTGTGTGATCCTCTACCTCTTCCACCTCCATAACCTGTCCCTTGTGCTCTGAAGTTCATACCTCTTCCAAATCCTCCACTTCTTACATTCATAGCAATGTTTGTATGGAGTTCCATTCCACTACTTTGTACTGATCTTTGTCTTTCAGCAGACAACAACATTGAGTAAGCCTTATTCACTGTAGGTAGAGGATCCATTAGCAGCATTTGGTTTTTAACATGATCATAGCCTTCATTCAATCCCATAAGAAACTGCATGAGTTTGGTTTGCGCATGTTGTTCTGCAACCTTCTTCCCAATTTCACAATTACAGGCTATCTGAGGTACCAAACAGCTGTATTCATCCCACATCATCTTCAATTTGTTAAAATAAGCCATAACCGAATCCGTTCCCTGTTTCAAATTAGCAATATCCCTCTGCAACTGGTAGATTAAGGGACCATTACTTTCCCCAAATCTCTGCCCAATTTCATCCCACAATTCCTTGGATGTTTCAGCATAGAGGAATGCACCAGCTAGCTCCTTGGACAGAGAGTTTAAAATCCATGATATGATCATCCAATCAACCTTTTTCCATTTCTCATAATTAGGATCATTTTCGCTCGGTTCAGGCACAGTTCCTTTTATAAATCCTAATTTCGTCTTAGCTCCTAAAGCGATCATCATCGATCTTCTCCATGCCAGGAAATTCGAACCAGTAAGAGGATTCGAGACCAAATGCATACCTGGATTGTCTGAGCCGTGAAGAAAAAGGGGATTATCTTCTGGCACATCACCGCCATTGTTGGTGCGAGCGTTTAGCAGTGGCCAAGATTCATTGTGCCGATTGTGCGCCATTATCAACGATCGATTAACTACTTCAAGGATCGCAACTTGCTCTCTGATACCATGTTCAAAAGCAAAATCGAACGAAAATTTGCTCTGCAAGTATTTGGGAAAATATTTCTCATCACAATTCTCATTCAAAAAGTGCATACATTTATAGTGACCAAAATAAGAACCCCAGCTAGCTCTAAACGACGTCGTCTGGTACTAAGACGCATCACAACAACTAAGAGAAGCGCTATCACGCTTTTACACCTTCATAAAAGAAACAAACAAATAGAGCCTGATAAAATGCATAATCTGCAACTATTTCTACAAAAATTATAGTGAATATGCAAGTGGAGAAAATATAATAAAGTAAAATTAATCATGGAATGAAATCGAATGAAAATAATCATGTCATCTCAAATTAACGATAAAGATATTAGCGACCAGTCTTATTAGTATGTAGTTTTTCCGCTGAATGCTCGATTATTGTAGTTTTTTATTATTTAATTAAGTGGGCGCGACGGGGACACGTGTAAGGGACGAGATGCACGACATAGCTTGTTTATGTTTGCTCCTTAGCGGTTTGCCTATGCAGCTCTCGTGGTTCCATTGGCTTTTCGACACAATCGTTGCTGGTGATTGATTTAGCGGTGGCTGAGCCCACAACGGATCCAACATTTTCTGTGGCATACATTTCGCGACAGCAAACGAGGCGTGACAATGCCGCCATTTGACCGACTCATCGTGTTGTCCGATTTGCATGGAGGTCGATGAGTCCACGATGCATGTGTTGCGGGACTGCTTTGTAGCTGCGGCAACTTGGTGTAAGTTGGTGACTCGAAGTGTTTGGACTGCCATTTTCTCTCTCACCCTGCAGGCGTGGGTTTGCGCCAATTTGGATGGGACGTTGATGCATGGCATTGAGGATTGGATGTCCATCTTTGGGGTCATGACTGACGATGGCGAAACTTGATGATTTTTCGAGATGAGCACCGGCATGTGGAGTTTCATGGGCACAACGTCCTTTCTTTCGTCCATCGCATTGACGCGGCCGCGGCTAGTGGCCGCGTTAGGCGGCGCCGACCGACGTGAGCAGCGTTGATTCGTTTGTGAACCGCCTGAGGCAAGTACGGTAAAGGTCAACACTGACGACAACCACTTACCGAGTACGGTTATGGCTAGTGTTGATGGCGTTATTTGGGATCATATCGTGAAATGGCCGAGTGGCTTCGTGGTGAATATTGGATTTTGTTTCGTTATTGGTGTAGAACTTTGAGGTTTGTTTCAGGGGTTGACACTTGCATGTAAGATTGAGGCTCGCAAGGTGGTGGTGGAGGTCGATAATCAGAGCATTATTGCGATGGTCTATGTAGATGATGAGTGCGGTATCCACATAGGGATTCTACAAAGGATACGGGAGCTGTTAAGTCGGCAATGACATGTGGTTTCGTAGCATGGTTATCACGAAGTGGATTTTGTTGTCGACTTTTTTGCCTCCCTTGCGGGCAGGGGCCTGCGGAGTTCAGCGTTTGGACGATCCTCCCTCGGGTGTGAAGTCTTGTCTTTTTCATGATGAAGTGGGGGTGGCGTATCCCAGAAACGTTCTAGTCTCGTCGTAATTAGACTATGCCTCCTCTTCTGGTACCGGAAAAAAAAAATTCTTAGCTTGATCCAACATTCTTTCTTTTGGCGTGTCGAGATGGGGCGGCCCTCGAGCTTTGACCTTTATTAATAAGTCTAACAAAATCTCTTGCTACTCCATTTATGAATTCGTTTGCCAACATTTGTTGGTAAAACTCAAATTTCTTGTAGTACTATGGAAAAAAGTCTCTGAATGATTTTTTTTTAATTAATTTATGAACGGTGAGTTAGTCTTTGAAAAACAGATGTGTGACCGTCATAAAATGAACACACGATAAAGCATCTTTACAAAGAATCTAAAGTAATGCTCGTTCATGTAGAAAAAATTTATTCTACATTTATCCCTTTTTTTACCGTTTGATCAGAACACATTCGAGTAGGTGTGTGCGTACTTATGCAATCAAATGGAACAGAAAAATAAAAAAAACAACCAACAACGACAATGCAGTCAATGATAGGATCGAATTTGCTCAATTATCCATTTTGTATTGGCTAATTAGGGGGCGATTGGCTACAAACTAAAACCAATTTTCATCGACCTCATATTTTTGCTTTTTAACTCAAAATACAACTTAAATTTAATCAAACTCGACTCCCATCAATTTACCAATATAAAATAAATAATATCAATCAATCATCTTACACATCACATCGAGTGTAATTCACTATTAGTTCATACATATCATTTTGAGTAACTTCTTTCATATTTTTACATCGCATCAACTTTAATCATTAATATTTGAATATTAATTATTTTAATACAATCTCAAAATCTCCTTCAATTATACACTCAATTAACTTTATTTAAAATTAATTAATTCATTTCCAACTCAAAATTCAATAAAAAAACAAACTATCAGTCTCAAATTTCTCACATGATCATAACAATCGTTTGACTCACGTTAGTAATGTAAATGCATAATTTCCTGCCATAATCTAACATTACTAACCACTCGAAAGCACAAAGCACGCCAAGATCTCAAGAATCACGATCCTGTCTATTACACACTCTTCGTAGTCGTACAAAATGAGTAATACTCGTCTACCCACGGTGGACACATGTTAATATATCCACTGTTTACGTGGCATGCACACATTGGTGATATATTTTTTTGAACATATTAACATCACTAATGTGTGCATGCCACATAAACGGTAGATATATTAACATGTGTCCACCGTGAGTAAGAGAGTATTAGTCCATACAAAATACTATAAATCAGTTGAAAACTTAAAACTTAGGACACCTAATTTTTTTTAATAAATAAATATGCAATGAAATCATGAACCCAAATAACATAGAAAGTCCACATCAGATCCACTCCAAATCCCATCCCAATCACACTGTGGACCCCACAGAAGGAACTTTTTTGCTCACACAAAAAGTCCCAGTACCCTCACATTTTTCTTCAAACCCCCCTTGATAAAATACAAAAAAGGAAAAGACACACACACACACACACTAGCAGCCATGCAGGCGAAAATCACCGCCGTTTTGTCGCTGCTGATATATATCTGCCTGAGCCGCCGGTCGCTGGCTCTAAACCAGGAGATGCTCGTCCTCCGGGGGCTGAGGCTCTCACTCTCCGACCCAGCCGGAGCCCTCGACAGCTGGTCCGGCGGCGACCCCTGCAACTGGACAGGTGTCGCCTGCGACCAGCAGGGCTCCGTCGTGTCGGTGTCTCTCCCGAGCGCCTCCCTCGTCGGCCCCTTCCCGCTCGAGCTCTGCCGCCTGCCATCCCTCTCCAACCTCTCACTTTCCGACAACTACATCAACGGCACACTCCCACTAGCCATCTCCGGCTGCCGGAGCCTCGTCCACCTCGACCTCTCCGAGAATCTGCTCGTCGGCTCCCTCCCACAGACCCTTGCCGACCTCCACTCCCTCAGGTGAGTAGAATAATTTTCGAGAAAAAATATATTTTCGATTTTTTTTTGGACGAATCGAAGCGACAAAGGATATTCCCGATTTAGTTAACACTTAACATTTGTTCGATCCTACTATATGCATTATCAATCCCAGCAAAAATACATATTTAGTCTTGTTGTTAGTTTAACTTCATAACAATTTTAGTTTCAAGATTCCAATTTTTTGGGCTTTAGATCCTCTGATTTAATATTTTGCTTAAGCTTTAGTCTTTTATGACTGAAATTGAAACAAAATAATTTAAATTATAGACTGGAGTTGTAACAAAATTTTTAAATTAAAGAACTTAAATTGCTAATAAAAAAATTTGAGAATCTAATATTTTGTTGCAACTTCGTAGTTTAACATCATACTAATTTTAGTCCCAAAATTCTAATTTGTTGGATTTTGGTCATGTGATTTAATAATTAATATTTTGATGAATTTTAGTCATTAGATTGAAATTGCCGCAAAATTTTGAACCGACAGGTATTGAATTGCTAATAGAAAATATGAGAAAGTGAGAATTTCTTTTAATTTCAGTATAAAAGGAATGAAATTGCTGCAAATTCAAAGGAAATGTTGAAATCTTGAGACTAAAATTGCTACAACGTTAAACTGAGGCCAGAAAAATTTCGTTCCAGGTACCTTAATCTAATGGGAAACAACTTCTCAGGCGATATTCCGGCAGCTTTCGGTCGATTCAAACACCTCGAATCTCTCATCCTCGTGAGTAACCTCTTAAACGGCACCATCCCATCC